AATTTCAGCAACACAGTAGAACAAAAACCCTGAGAAAAACAGTGCAAGACGAGAAGGAAGGCAGCTTCATGTTGTTTACGTCATCTCGTCCCCCAGGCCAGCACTGCTCAGTGCCAAGAGGGAACTCCACAGCACGGAAAAGTTTCCCATACCAGGAAAGGGAGAGTGGGGTGAGCAATCAGCTTCCCCAGCCTCTGACTGGGTGATGAACAAAGGACGAGAAACCATGTCACCCCATCCAGCAACCAGTGAAGCTGAGATGTATAGAGACAGCTAGGAACAAGAAGGGCAGGGGTTACCAGCATCAGAGGTGACCACGGTTCCCGGTTGTCTGCTGCGCAAGGGACACCAGCAGCTTTTGCTGCAGAGAAAACCGATGGCCAGAGCAGCTGCTGCGGACCCCTGCAGATTTTCCTGCTGAGTTTTCACCCCACAGGCTTTCATGTTCATAGAAATTAGCTGCTTGAATCTCTCTGGCTCCCTCCTCCCATCCCCTTGAACATGATATCTGCATCAGCAGCCTTCCCGGGCCTCTGTGGTTGCATAAGTGCAAAACACCAGCCTAGACCCTATGGCTGACCCCCCACGGCTAGGTAAACAGAGGGCTAGCCCCTCCAGCTGTGCACAGGCATTCCACTGACCTGACACTTGGCGTCAACCTCCACTGCCATGTGTGGACCTGTGGTAAGACCCTGCAGCCATGGGAATGCACATGGACAGCCAGGTTGTTGGTAACTGCTGGTGTGACTGTAGTTGCCTCTGGTTCTTGCTGCTAGTCCTGGTGCTTATCACATGTGTATCTGCAACCAGACCTCGCCACTACACAAGACACCTGCAGCTGGTCCCCACATCTGAATGTGTGCATACTACCAACTCTGGCCACCACCACTGCCTGCCCTAGTCCCTAGCCACTGGACCTCGGAGGTGCCACCCCAGGAGTGCCTATAGCCATTGCAGACCCCTGCAATGCTCACCAAAAACTATGCGGTTGTCGATGTCGTGGATCCTAGTAGCCTAAACCAAGGGGACATCATGTCCTCCCTACCCACCCTGCCTTCCCCTCAACTCAGAGCCACCACACACCTCCTGCTGTTGATGCCCTGCTTTTGCCCACTAGATCTGAGGTCCCAGCATGCTCCCACCTGCAGGGGAAGGTCTTTCCTTCCTGAAGTCAGTTCACAAAGTCTGAAAGTGCACAGAAACCTTTGCAAGAATCAGAAAAATGTGACACCGTCAAAGGAACACAGTGACTCCCAGTAACTGATGGAAAAGGGATGGGGATGCATGAATTACCTAATAATTCAAAATAATTGTTCCAAAGTTGCTCGGAGAGCTTTAAAGAGAGCACAGTTTAACAAAAACCAAGAAAACAATATAATAACAAAATGAAAAGTTGGACAAAGAGATAGAAAACATGAAAAAGAACCAAACAGAAACTCGGAGCTTAAAAATACAATGATGGAAGTGAAGAATTCAGTAGAGAGTGTCAATAGAAGACTGGACCATGTAGAAGAAACAGTCAGTGAACTAGAAGGCAGATAATTTTAAATTATCCCGTCAGAGGAGCCAGAGAGTGAAAAGGAACGAGGAAAACCTGTGGGGCTTAGGAGACACCATTAAGAGAAACAGTCTACATATTATTGGAGTCCCAGAAAGAGAAGAGAGGAGAAAGGGGCAGAGAGTTTATTTAAAGAAATAATGGCTGAGAAGTTCCTAAACCTGGGGAGAGATTTGGACATCCAAGTTCATGAAGATCACCCTGAAATTTCAATCTAAAAAGATCTTCTTCGAGACACATTATAATAAAACTGTTTAAAATCAAAGACAAAGAGATATTTTCAAAAGCAGCAAGAGAAAAAATTTCTCTCCTACAAGATAGCCCCCATAAAGCTCTCAGTGGATTTCTCAGCAAACATTTTGCTGGCCAAAAGAAACTGGGAGGATATATTCAGAGTGCTGAAAGGAAAAACAAACAAAACACAGACTACCAACAAAGAATACTTTATCTTGCAAAGTTGTCCTTCAGAAATGAAGGCACGATACTTTGCCAGCCAAGCAAGAGCTGAGGAGAGCTCATCCCACTAGACCCACCTTATAAGAAATGCTGAGAGTTCTTCAAGCTGAAACAAGAGTGTGCTAATTAGTAGCATAAGAACATGTGAAGGGGCACCTGGATGGCTTAGTCAGTTAAGCATTTGCCTTTGGCTCAGGTCATGATCTGAGTCCTGGGATCAAGTCCCACATTAGACTCTCTCTTCAGCAAGGGGTCTGCTTCTACCTCCCTCTGTGTGTGTGCTTTCACTCTCTCATTCTTTTGCTCTCTCTCCAAAGACTGAAATCATACCGAGTAACTTTTCTGTTTACAGTGGTATGAAACTAGAAATCAACAACAGGAGGAAAACTGGAAAATTCACAAATAGTGGAAATTAAACAACACATTCTTGAACAACCAGTGGGTCAAAGAAGAAATCAAAAGGGAAATTGAGAAAATATCTTGAAACAAACAAAAATGGAAACAGCATACCGGAACTTCTATAATACTGCAGAAGCAGTTCTAAGAAGAAAGTGTATAGTGATAAATACCTATGATAAGAAAGAAAGATCTCAAATAAACAACTGTTTGCAACAAATGCAAACAGAATATTGAGAAGCTATCTGCACTCCTGTACTCATTACAGCATTATTCACGGTAGGCATGAGAGCAACCTAAATGTCCCATCTGTAGATGACAAGTTGATAAATGTGGTCTGTATATACCTTCATAAAGAAGGAGATCCCGCCATTTGGGACAACATGGATGAAACTGGAGGATGTAATACGAAGTGAGAGAAGCTAGCCACAGAAAGACAAACATGGAATCAAAAATACTCAAACTCAGGGCACCTGGGTGGCTCAGTTGGTTAAGCCTTTGACTCTTGATTTCAGCTCAGGTTATGATCTCCTTGTTGTAGGATCGTGCCCCTTGTAGGGCTCCCCACTCAGTGAGGAGTCTGCTTGGGATTCTCTCTCTCCCTCTCCTTCTGCCCCTCCCCCCACCATGTTCTCTCTGTCTCTTTCTCAAATAAATAAATAAAATCTTTATTTTTTTAAAAAAGATTTTATTTATTTATTTGACAGATCACAAGTAGGCAAAGAGGCAGGCGGGTGGGGGGGTTGCGGAGTAGGCTCCCTGCCTAGCAGAAAGCCTGACTCGGGGCCCGATCCCAGGACCCTGGGATCATGACCCATGCCAAAGGCAGAGGGTTCAACCCACTGAGCCACCTAGGCGCCCCTAAATGAATCTTTAAATAAGCACTCAAACTCCTAGCAGGTGGAGAATAGAATAGTGGTTGCCGGGGGCTGGGGGAAGGGAAGAATGGGAAGTAATGGTCAAAGGGTACAGAATTTCAGTTACACCAGGTAAGTTTTGGAAATCTGTTATATAGCACAGTGCCTATAGCTAACAATGTTCTATCACATACTTAAATTTTTCTCAGAGGTCAATACTATATGAAGTGTCCTGACCAGGAAAAATATGGTGGTAAAGCGGGTAAGAGGATATTTTGAGAGGTGGATATGTTTATGCCCTTGACAGTGGTGGTGGTTTCATGAGTGTGTGCTCATTCCCAGACTCATCAAGTTGTATACATTAACTATACACATCTCGTTACATGTCAATTATATCCCAATAAAATGGGTAAAAAAAAAAAAAAACTCAAAACCCGAGTGGGTCATAAATGTGTGATCTCAAGGAAATACACCTGTAGGTCGACATAGTGGTGGCCCCCAATGTGAGACCATCAGTTTATGGATAATAGATGGAAAATCAAAAGCATGGGAGCTAGACAGGGCAGTGATGGCTGGCGGGCCCAAGGGAGGGTAGGGCTGTGCGCCTATGATTGGGGGCAGTGGCAGTTGGGGGGATCTGAGCCAGGTGTTGAAGAGATAATGGGAATTTACCAGATGGCCAAGGTGAGGAGGGCCAGCTGTGAGGGCTGTATTGGCAGGATGGGACTGTCCCAACCACGGGCGTAAGTTGTGTGAGAGGCTGGGAGGGGAATGGCAGACTGAGGGCCTTGGCAGCCAGAGTACATACAGAGCAGCCAGCGGGGACAGGGGTCCAGTGAGGGCTGTCCAGCAGGGAAAGGCTACAGCCTGTCTTGGGGAGGCAGCAGGTCAGTTGCTGTAGAGTTTGGGCTGGTGCCCAGTGTGGAGGAAGGGATAGATGCTGGGGGCACAGGGACTCTTGTCAGCTGCAGGGGTGCATGCTCCATCCGGGGCGTCCACTGCTTAGCAGCACGCACTATGGTTAGCCTGTGTTTTGTTTTTTGTTTTTTAATGTTTTGTGACCTCTATGTAGTTATTTTTATTGCTGTTTAAATGTTTTTTTTTTCTTTTTTAAGATTTTATTTATTTGTCAGAGAGAGAGTACAAGCAGCGGGAGCAACAGGCAGAGGAAGAAACAGGCTCCTGGCTGAGCAAGGAGCCCGACGCAGGGCTTGATCCCAGGACTTTGGGATCATGACCTGGGCCAAAGGCAGATGCTTAACCATCTGAGCCACCCAGGCATCCCAGTCAGCCTGTATTTTGCAAGGGAAATTGGAATTCCAGTTTTGAAACATGAAATGTCATCATTTTGAGTGTTGGGTTTAGAACTTTGAAAATACTGTATGGGTCAACCTGAACATGTCTGTGGCAGATTCAGTCCCCAGTTGGCAGTTTGGGCCTTTGTCTTGGATTTTGGGCTTCTGGGGGGTGGGGTTGGGGATGGCTCAGATAGAGCTTCTTCCTCGATGGGGCTCACCACCATCCAGGGCTCAGAGACTAGAAGAGCTCTGCAGAAGGGACCTCTGGGATCACCTGTCTGTGCCCTCGCTGGCCCAGTTCAAGCCTGCCTAACAGGGGTGCTGGGAAAGATCCTTGTCCGTCTGGTGGGAGGTCCCCCAGGACCCTCCTTGCTGCTGCCCATCCTTGGTCTGCTGTGCTCTGGGAATTTGAACCATATCGTTTTTGCCCTGCAGGCTGGCCTGATCCGTATGGAGGAGGAGGAGTTCTTCATCGAGCCCCTGGAGAAGGGGCTGGCAGCCAAGGAAGCTGAGCAGGGCCGTGTGCATGTGGTGTATCGCCGGCCACCCACCCCGAGGCCCCCTCCTCTGGGGGGACCACAGGCCCTGGACACAGGTAAGGCTGCTTGGTGAGCCCAGCCCCAGTTGTCCCCCTGGGGACCCCAGGCCCCTCTTGGAGGCCTGGTCTTAGGCCGAGCTTGAGCCCTGCTCTCATTGACCACATGGAATGGTGGGGGTGCTGCAGAGCTGGGGGGGGGGGGGGGGCTCTGCTGTCACTGCACATGGACCGCAAGCTGGCAGGTCTGGGACCTCCATAGCTGGCAGTGGAGGCTGACCAGGGGCCCCATTCTGCTGCTTGAGGTCCAGCCAGTGTTGGGGAGCAGGGGAAGCACAGAGCAGGCCTGCACCTGGGCCCGTGTCCCGTGCCCATGTCTCTGATCCTGTGCCTGTAAAGAAGATGTCTGTTGGTCTCACATGGCCTCCCTCTTCCTCTGTGCAGACCACCTTCCCTGCAATCACAACTGACCACCCCTCCCTAGCTGCTCACAGAGAAAGGCCCCAAGCTGTCCTCTGGCCCTGTTCAGACCCTGCTTCCTCTTAGAGACATGTGTCAAAGGGAGGAAGGGGAAGGAAGTGCATGACAAAGACCCCAGAGGTGCCCCCATGGCCTCTGCAGCCTGTGCACAGACTCAAATGTTTTTTTGTTGTTGTTGTTGTTTTTGTTTTTCCTTTTGAGACTTAGAAGCAAAGTGCACTCTGGGCCCAGGAGCATGGAAGGAGCTTCTGGGTGGGCCTGGTGATAGCCCCTGGCTGCAGCCTCTCAGATCTCAAGCCCAAACCTCCCCCACATTCTTGGGATCTTGGGTTCCAGGCTGCCAGGTTGGGGTCAGACCATGGTCCTAGCCGGCCTCATGGTCCTCGGGCCCCAGGGACCAGATGAGGCTGCCTTGCCTATGCCCAGTCATTAAGGGCTGGGCTCAGCCCTCAGCCTCTGGTGCTGGCCCCCTAGCTGCAGGTGGCCAGGGCAGGTGATAGCAGTGGGTCCTGGAGTCCTGGGTCTTGGGTCAGGCTCACCTGCATGTTGGCTGAGAACCCCAGAGGTCCCCTCAGACCAGCCCAGTCATGCTGTGATTTGTTGGGGCACTCCCATCACCCCAAACAGCCCTGGCTCATTTATTTTAGGTCTCTCAGTCTGACTTCCCAGCTTGACAGATAAATTGGGTGCAGGCCGGCAGGGCATCATTCTAATTTCAAGGAATGGTGTCAGATACTTTTGCACAGAAATTGTTCCATCAGGAAGCCCAGCGCTGTCTAGAGCCAATCAATACTTTGGGCAGACCCTTTTTTCCAGGTGATGAATTGCCCATCTGCCAGGCCTTCCTCAGCCTCAGCCTTCCTGCCTCTTTCCTACCCTTGGGGCTTCTCCGCAGGGGGAGGAATGGAGAGTCACCAAGTAGGGTGAGGGTAGGGGTAAAGTGGGGCAGTGGAGGTGCTCCAGACCAGGGGTGAGGCTGACACTGGCTGGCTGCCCTCGGGCACATTTGGGCCTCTGGCTTCTGCCTTCTCTGTCCCGTGGGATTAGAAAGGCCTGTGTCTCAGAGAGCTGAAGGCTTGCCACCTTGGGCCTTGGGCTTGGTGCTTCTGGGTCCCACTTAGGCTAGGTGAGGTGGCATCTGCCACCAGGGGCTGCCAGGTGCCCGCAGCTGTCTCTGATCCCAAATTCCATGTGGTGCCGTCTCCTAAACATGGCAGCCCTCCCCCGTGGCTGTGCTGGCCTTGCTTTATTACCTGGGATTTTGTTGGTCTTTTGGGACCTTCTGTTAAATCCATCCTCCCTTCCCCCTGCCATCCACCTATTGCTGGTGAGAGTTTGGAACTCAGAATGCAGGAAAGGAGTTTCAGACTCAGAATAACCTCAGAAACCAGTGTCCTTAAAGGATGTTGGGGAGAGGTGCCTGGGTGGCTCAGTCAGTTAAGTGTCTGACTCTTGATCTCTGCTCAGGTCTTGATCTCAGGGTCGTGGGTTTAAGCCCCATGTTGTGCTCCATGCTGAGTGTGGAGCCTACTTTGAATAAAAAAAAAAAGTAGATGGTGCACAGGTTGGAGACTGAGGTGCTGGAAGGTGGTGGGGTGCAGTGAAAGTATTTGGGGTTGGGCTCTTGGCCGTGGGTGTGTAGGCTCCAGGCTGTGGGCTGTGAGTGGTAGGGCCAGGCCACAGGCCCAGGGTCTGGGGCCAAGGCCCCTTTCTGTGATGTCTGTGCCCAGTGTCAGCATGACCCTGTGTAGGTGACTTGGTCACCCAAGAGTACATTTCTCCCTTGATGTCCCTTCCCATCCAGCTTTGGGCTGAGGCCTACTCACTGGTTGGAGGGGTTCCAAACATGTTATGCTGGGGCTGGGCTGAGGGCCCATGGTGACCTCAGATGGGTCTAACTTTGTTAGCCTGGGCCTTGTCATGGCCCAGAGTGAAGCCAGGAGATATGTAGAAGCAGTGTCCTAGGCTGGGCCTGTTTGCTCTGTGCTGGGCACAGAACCCTAGGATGTGTGTGTGTGCGTGTGTGCCAGAAAGTCCTTTTCTTTAGTGAATTCTGATGCGGACCCTTATAGATCACTGTGGCTGTGGCTGAAATGAGCAGGAGGCATGGACTTGAGGCTTTTTCCTCCCTCCCCAAAGGCAACTCCTGGAAGCAGGTTTGAAACCCCTGTGATGGGCAGTGTGTAGGATGGGTCCTCTGGGGAAGGGGAAACATCTGTTCTGGACCTTCCGGGCTGGGAGGTGGGCTTCTGGCTGGGTGTGGGGTTGCGGGTAGGGGTGCCTGATGGGGGTTGGTGGGTGTGTCCCACATGGCTCCTCCAAGGTCCAAGACACATTGTCCTATTTTCCTTGAGCAACCAACAGCCTTCCTGGAATGATCTTGCGGGTCCACCTAGCCTCAAAGAATTGTTATCACTCATAGTCTCCATCATCAGGTTAGTTGCTGGGTTGCAGACTGCCCCAGGGAGGTATATGGGAAACAAACATGTTCACATGTCTTCACAGACTCAGGCCTGGGCCCAGTGTGTGCACAGAGCAGTGTAGTGTATAACAGTGTTGTTCTTGGGCCACAGGTTAGGGTTTCAGGGTGGGCAAAGGGTTGAGGGAGAGGAGGGGGCACCTTTTCTCTCCTCATGGCCCTGCAGATGTGGCAGAAGTGTCTCTGCTCCACTCTGCTGGACCCAGGAGCCCAGCCAGGACAGGAGGGCAGAGCTGAGGCGAGGGGACCAGGGTGGCCTTTTGGGGACAGGTAGTTGAGGCATTTCTAGACCTCCTCCATGCCAGGCCTCTCAGGTTACACTGGGCCCCATTGTCTGTCCCCACTCGGAGTTAGCCCTATATCCAGGGCAATATGGTGCCGGGGGACCAAGTACCATCTGCCTTCCTGATGTGTGTGTGTGTGTGCAGGTGTGTGTTTGCACTTGCACACATACATGAACAGGGCCCCACTTGGAGTGCTGGGCCTGTGCCTGAGCCCTGGCCTGGCTGCTATCTGTCAACCCTGTCTGAGGTGGTTGAGGGAGAGCCAGGGCCGGCCGGTGTGGGGAGAGGAGCCCCAGTCTGGGCCGGAAGCCCCGCCTCGTACTTGCACCAGGGACCCTGGCACGTCACAGCCTCCTACTCTCTGGCTATTGCGACGTCTTACCACCAGCTGGCTCACTGAAGACAGCTGCGGTGTATTATTCTGTCACAGTTCTGGAAGGCAGAAGTCTGAAATGCTATCACTGGGCAGAGGTCAAGTGTGGGCAGGGCCGTGCTCCTTTTGGAGGCTGTAGGGGAATCTGTTCTGGCCTCTCCCAGCTTCTGGTGGCTGCTTGTGGCCACATCACTCCAGTCTCTGCCTCTTGGTCACACTGCATCTTCCGTGTGTGTGACCCTCACTCAGCCTCTTGCTCACAAGAATGCATGTGATTGTATCCAGGGCCCATCCAGATAATCCAGAACCATCTCCCCCGATCTCAAGACCTGTGATCTAATCACATCTGAAGAGCCCTTTTCTGGTCCCATAAGGTAATATTCTCAGGTCCCAGGAAGGACCTGACACCTTTGGGGGCCACCAATCAGCTCAACTCGGAAGTGACCCAGCCCACCCACGCGCAGCTGGTTGTGCTGTGAACGGGATGCGCATCTGTGGAAGCATGGGCGCCCCTTGCTCCTTCTCCCGGGGCAGGGCTCAGGTGCAGCTCAGGCAGGGCCCCTTCCCTCTGCTCTGCTGGGCCCTCATCAGTTTCAGCCAGACTGTGGGGCCTGGAGAGGCTGGGCCATGGTATGGTTGGGCTGGCCCCAAGACGGCATGCACAGAGCTGGCCTGGCTGCAGACACAAAGGGCCTGGCTGTGTGCAGGAGCCTACAGGTCCCCATGAGCTGGGCATGTGGTCTCCCTGCTAGATACATGGTGCCACTGCCAGACAGCTGTGCCATCCCAAGAGCCACAAACTCCAAGCCTGGCAGGATGCAGCTGGCCATTCTAGCAAGGACGGTGGCAGGGCTAAGTGCTTGGCCTGACTTTTACTTCCCTCCTTTTGACATAAACAATGGGAGTAGAGAGTGTGCCTCTACTGAAAGGAACACAGCGGGAGCGTGATGGGCACATGGCCGGCCAGAAGCCTTGTCCAGGGGGCAGCCCCTCCTCGGCTCCCCTGACCATGACTTGGTGGGAGTATGGGGCTGGGATAGTGATCCTCTCATGGTCAAGAGCATCTAAGACATTAGAACTTTTATGGGAACACTCATGATTGTGAAATGTTGCTTTACAACTCTAAAAAGCACCATATGAGCCAAATAAAACATGGCCCCATTGGCCACCTGTGCTTGTGAGAGGCAGAAGCGGAAGTGCTGTAGTGGGGGCTGCTCTTCTAGGCCCCCTGAAGCCCCGGGGCATGGCCATGGGGGGTGGGGCTCTGTGCTCCTGCTGGGGGATATTCCCTGTCTCACAGAACTGCCCTATGGGCCACTGTGCCCTCCCACCCTGCCTTGCACTGGGGCATGGGTGAAGGAAGAGAAGTCAGGCAACTCAGTACCCATGACCTTGGCTGCCTCCTCCTCGGAATCAGACTGTGCCAAGCCTCTGCCCGCTGCTG